AGGAGGAGGAGGAAGGAAGGAAGGAAGGAAGGAAGGAAGGAAGGATGGATGGATGGATGGAGGAACGGACGGAGGGAGGAGAGAAGGAGGGAGGGGAGGGAGGAGGAGCCTGTTTGTTGAAGCGACAACCCACAACGCCTGTTTGAGGAGCGAAAAATCCTTATCAGTCTTTGTGTTCTGTTGCTTCCCGGTAACCATGATGAGCAGGAGTGGACAGGTCATCCTTGCAACTGGCATATTTCCGAGCCAGTGGATGTGGGTGAATATCAGGTAATACAGGATGAGGTGGAATGATTGAGAACTCAATGATGATGACGACGACGACGACGATGATGATGATGATGATGATGACGATAACGATGTCGACGATGATGATGGATATGATGATGATTCCTTTCGGTGACTTGCTTGTCTATTTCAGGAGGAATATCTCGGTGATGTGATCAATATCTACTGAGCAACTACAACTATACCCACTACTGCAGTGATGTTTGCCCATGGTTGGTATGAGATTTCCATATGCCAACAAAGACTTGTAGAATCGTCAACATGTTTGAAATGAAACATGAATCGTTGAATCTCGTGGTTTAAATAAAAGTGAGTTTTCATTGTCTTGTCTTCATGCTACATCTCATGCATGAAATAAACGAAGTACACAACAACAAAACACAAGACAAGACCTCCAATTCTTCCACTAAGACGATGCCCTTCAATTGTAGATGTTCCCAACTGTATCCTTCAGCTTCTTTAACTGTAAACTCCCAACCTGAAGGGCCTGACCATCAGCCGTTAGAATCAAGATGAGCACAGCATCGTCCTTTCATCCAACACTCTCGTCTCTGACTCACATCTTCGAGGACTTCCAGGTTCGTCTCATCGTGATATCTGTTGACAACCCTCACGTGAAATATCAACACACTCATCTTACCTCTTGTACTCGTTTCTTATCAACGCCTTCACCTCTTTGTACTCCCTGCTCCACGTTTAGTCGCCATCCTCCCCACCCCGCCTCCCTTTCCCTCTCCTTCCTTCCATTCATCTCTTGCTCTCCCTCCCCCTGCTTTCCCCCCTCCTTCCCTCCACTCCATGCTTCCCCTCCCTCCCCTCCACTGTCCCTTTTCTCGATCTTTCTATTCCGCTCCTCTTCCTCTCCTCTCCTCTCCTCTCCTCCCTGGCGCTTCTTCTCACTCACGAGGCAGGAAGCTTGCAGGCGATTTTGCACAGATCTCGATAAAGCTTCAGCGCGGTAGAGCGAAGGATGAAGTGCTTAAGCGATGCTGTCATGCCCAGAGATCGCGATCACAGGATGCTGAGCTCGTGCACGAAGGAGATAAGAGAGGAGAGGAGAGGAGAGGAGAGGAGAGGAGAGGAGAGGAGAGGATCAAGGGGAGCGGACAGGGGCGGAGAGGAGATGAGAGGAGAGGAGAGGACGAAGGGGGCAGAGGAAGAACTTGCTGAGACAGGAGTGACAGCTCTGCTTGTCGTCGTCGGAGCAGCGGCGGCAGCAGCAAGTTAGCAAGCGATGGGGAGGAGGTTTGGGCTGCCGAACTGGAAAAAAAAGAGCAGGGGGGAAGAGGGAAGGAGGGACGGACGGACGGACGGAAGCAGGAGGGACGGAGGGACGGAGGGAGGGAGGGAAGCAGCAAGTTGGTAGAGGGAGTGGACAGAGGAGGAGGAGGAACATGGGAGAGGACGGGAGACTTGAGAAGATGGAAAAAGGGGAGGATGGGAGAGCAGGGAGGAGGAAATGTTTGGCTGACTCTGATCGCACAGTTCAGGGGCAGAGGGATGGACGTTGTCTTCCTGGACATCGATGGCGTCCTCCTCCCATTCGACGAGGAGATCTGCGACGACTGTGGTCTGTCTGAAGATGTCGTGTGGGAGTGCGATGCCTGCGGTGAGAAGTTCTGCGAGAACTGCCGTGATGTCGTGCTGTGCGAGGAGCCGCAATGCAGAGCTCAGGTCTGCACGAGCTGCGCGCAATGCATCAGCTGTGATGTGTGCAAGGAGAACGCAAGGATGAAGCTAGAGGAGAGGGAGGCGGGGAAGAGGGCGGAGGAGGAGAAGGAGCGGGGGATGATTATGAGGAGGAGGAGGAGGAGGAGGAGGAGGAGGAGGAGGAGGAGGAGGAGGAGGCTGGAGCTGGGGCTGTGATGAAGGATGCTGCTACCAACGGAGATTCGGACGACACATCGAGCAGCGAGAGCGTGGCGGCAGCACCAGCAGCACCAGCAGCCATATTTCCTCTCTCCTGCATGAGATCGCTGGCGATGATCGTGGAGGCGACGGGGTGCGTGCTCGTGCTGTCGTCGACATGGAGGAGGAGGAGGGAGTGGCAGGAGCAAATCCTCCAGGAGTTCCGAACCTTCTCGTCGCAGCATGACGAGCAGGGCCCGCTCTCCGGCATCGAGCGCTTCGACCTCATCACCCCCATAGCCAGCGGCTCGAGGAGGCAGGACGAGATCCTGCGCTGGCTGAACCTCGAGGACGAGGAGGAGGTCGTGAACGGAGTCGTGGAGTCGCAGGAGACGGAGAGGAGGCGGATCAGGGTTCGCTCCTGGGTAGCGCTCGACGATGAGGACTTGCTGGATGGAGAGAAGGAGGAGAGGAGATCTCTTTTGGAGGAGCACGTCGTGCGGGTTGACTGCAGGCAGGGGCTGACGATCGAGGATGCGGAGCTGGCCATCACGATGCTGATGAAGCAGAAGGATGGGGAGAAAAAGAGTAAGCAGAATTGAGAGACGAGGGGTTGTGAATAGAGTGTGTGACATGGTGCTTGAGGAGGAGGAGGAGGAGGAGGAGGAGGAGGAGGAGACCGAGGAGGATGGTAAGGGGGGGCAGGGGGGCAGGGGGGAAGAGAAGAGAACTGGAGAGGAATATCAGAGATCATTTCATTTCATTGTACAGATCTTCTGCTGCTTCGCTTGTGAGGGACCAGTTGCTTCTCCTCAGACAGCAAGTTAGAAGTCGATGAAAGCCCGAGCCTGAAGAAAGAGGTCACTGACTGCGAGATGGAAGAGGACGAGGACGAGGACGAGGACGAGGACGAGGAGAGCGTGTGGAATAGTGAAACTAGAAATGACAAGAGGGTTCGATGAGGATGTTGATCAACGAGGGGAGGATGGAGGAGGAGAATTACCTTGATTTTGTGGGCCTTGAGGACAGAGAGCGTCTTGTCTTTCCTTTTTCCTGCCTGCGATCTGCCAGAAATTCAGAAAGAGCTGTATCAGCAGGAAGCAGGAAGCAGGAAGCAGGAAGCAGGAAGCAGGAGGAGGAGGAGCAGGAGGAGGAGGAGGAGGATGTGGTAGTATCCTGTACCTTCTGGGCTCGATGAGGTTTCGCTTCTGGAGGTTCTTAAACTTGTCGCGCAGGGTGTTGCCAACAGGCTTGACCGCGCGAAGTTTAGTAGGAATCTCCTCCGGCAGAAGAACCTGCCGAGATGACGATGAGAAGATGCAGGGGAGGAGGAGGAAAGAGGGGGAAGGAGGGAGGGGAGGAGGAAGGGGACGAAGGAGGGGGAGGGGGGAAGGGGGATAAAGAAACGTGACGAGAAGAGAAGAGAGCGGAAGTACCAGAGCAAGAGCAAGGGGTAGGGAGAGCAAGAGGAGGGAAGGAAGGGAAGGGAGGGCGAGGGGAGGGGGGGGCGGATGCGGTTGGAACCTCTGGTGCCTCCTTCTGCAACTTGATCTTTCCTAGTCTCTTGATCCTTTCAGCCTCCTTCTCATCCTTGAGTGAGGCCTCAAGGCTGGACGCCTGCCATGCAGTCAGCCGCTTCCTCCTCCTCCTCCTCCTCCTCCTCCTCCTCCTCCTCCTCCTCCGCCCCTCCTCTTCATTCTCGTCCTCGTCCTCGTCCTCGTCCGCCCCCTCCTCCTCCTGTCTCTCTCCCTCACCTGCTCTCGGATCTTCAAGATGTTCTCCACCTCCTTCTTGATCTCTCCGACGCGGTTGATCTGCTTCAGCAGTTTCTTCTCCTGCCATTTTGCGTTAACCACAGAAGGAGGATGCAGAGACCGACCTCCTTCGCTGCTGCCTGGGCTCGCAGAACCTCCTTGTGTCTCGCCTGAGGAGGATGAAGATGAGAAGAGAGAAGAGAGGGGAGGAGGAGAGGAACCCAGCGGAGATGATGAGAACATGATGAGACAGGGAAACAGGAGGAGAGAAAACAGAAGGAAAGAGAGAGGGAGGGAGAGAAGAGAAGAGCAGGGAACATGCAGTCACAGAGGGAAGATGAAAGAGTGTGTTTAGTTGGGAGGGAGGGGAGGGGAGGGGGAAGATAGGACAGCACAGGACGGGGGCGACGAGGAAGACCATCAGAGGATGCAGACCTGCTTGTTTCTTTCTGCTCTCGTCAACTTCCCCTTCTCCTTTGCGGCCTTTGACGACGCCTTGTCTTCCTCCTTGCGACCTTCCTCCTCCTCATCCTCCACTGACCCCTGGAGGTCTGACTCGTCCGGCCCTCCCACGTCATCGGGCCCGACGATCGTCCCTTTCTTGGTCAGCAGCGATCGCTTCACGCGCTGCTCCCCCTCCTGTGAAGCAACGTGAGACACTGCCGGTGGGAGGAGGAGGAGGA